AAGCGTCTTCGACCTGCTTTGCAACTGCGCCTGCGTTTTATAACGCGTTTAAATATCGAAGACATTAACACGGATAAGAAGTAAACCATAAGCTTATACATTTTAAAAGACATTAATTTTCGTAATTCATGCAAAAAACGTCCTTTTTCGCCCTTTTAGCCTCAATTTGCCACTTGTACAACAGCAACAGCAACAACAGCAGCAACATCCACCACCAACTCAGCAACAGTTAGCTGCTGCCGTACAACAGCAAGCGCAGCAAGCGCAGCAACAGCAGCAACTTCAACAACAACAGCAGCAAAAGGCGAATATGGTGAACGCCCAGAGCCAGCAACAGCAACAGGTGCAAATGCAGGCAGGGGGCAATGCTCAACCGCAGCAGCAGCAACAGCCCTCACAACAGCAACAGTCACAACAACACCAGCAACAGCAACAACAATCCCAACAAAATGTACCAATGGTTGCAGTGGGCAGTGGCAGTGGTGCTGCAGGAGGTGGCAACGCGCCTGGTAATCATCCACAAATGGCTAATTACAATTTAATGGCGCAGCAGCAGCAACAACAACAACAACACCAACAGCAGCATATGGCTGCAAATATGGGCCAGCACCAACCACAACAAATGCAATACTTTATGCAAAACATGCCACCCCGCTATTGAGTTGACGTTGGTAGTGCGCATTTGCATAGAATTATTAAGTATTGGCTAGATATTTCGCATCGCAAACGCATGTTCGTTTATAAGAAGACTTTAAAGTTTGTGTGTTTTTATATATATTAAGAAATAAAATATTTTATATGTATACGCTAAAATATATTTTAATTTTGAGTATTATTCCAATATTTTTGTTTGTTTGGTTTTTCTTGAGAGCGGCTACACTTATTTGACTATTTTTAGTTTTTAATGATTCGCAGTCACTCAAATAGGGTTTTTTATACGCAGAAAAATTGCCGGAAAAAAGGAAAATTTTGGAAAAACTGGAAGGACTTTTTTAAAAACAGGTTTTATTTCTAAAGAAATATCATAACTCACGAATATATATTCATATATATAACTAGCAGTGCCAGTAACTAAGGGGTTTTTTTATTTTTTTAGAGTCCCTAAGATTTTTTCAAACTTATCACGTCGAGTAACCCACTGGGAATATAGTTAAGCATATTACGAGGTAAATTCCAACTTACATAACGCGGCCACGACTTTGTTAAAGTAATGCTGGATTTCCACTAGGCATTAAATGGCAAAAATGACAAATGATAACGTCGGGCATTAAAAAATAATCGTATCATTACATTTAAAAAATAGACATAAAGTTTATTTCCACATGGCATTTTTTTTTAAATGGCATAAATACATTCCTTGTCATTTCATTGTCTAGCGGAAATTCGGCATAAGGGATATTCGGCAGGAAAGTGGTAAGGACCGCCGTATGAAGAGTAAGGTGCTGGTAAGGCATGTGTGTATAGTGCCCGACACAATGGTATAAGATCCTATATTGTAAGGTTTTGACTATTTACATATTTCTTTTTTTTCTGAATATAAACTTATTAATTACATATACTTAATAAATATATTTATACTTATACTTAAGTAAGTATACTCAAGTGCATTAGAACTACAATAAATGCGGCAGTGCGTTCTCGAAAATTTATGCATATCTGCCTATAATTATGTATAACGAAAGATTGACAATGAATTACTATCACTCGCAAATCCCATGGAATATACAAGTTTTTAAAGCGGGATTTCAATAGATTTGCCAAGAAAGCATAAAGGCTGCAATATTACGGTATTTACTTATTAGGTAGCTCGAACGCACCCACACATAGTTCATTCATTTTTTTTCATGAGTTCATGATTTTTTTTTTAAGTTCGCCAGCATTTTAAAATCATATAAATCTTTAAATGAAAAAAATCGTGGTACAATAAAAACCGGTACAAGCAAGGTGTATTAAACAAGGTGTAATTGACAACTCTGGTAGGCTCTCTTTTAAGGTACTATTATGCCAAAAAATATAAACAAATGATTCGAAATTCATAAACATTTTTTTCATTTGACTTTATAGGATGGTTCTTCTGAGAGCAATGTCAAATTCAATCACACTTTGTTGAATACATTTTGATTGTATCATGATTATTGCCCATGGTACAATAATTACAGGTAGCGCATATTCCGATCTGCCTTATTTGAAAAACATCATAGTTGCCCTCACTAAAAGGCTTACTGCGAGGGAATAGGGATATGTCCATACCGCATATACAATATATGTACACGTATTTTTTTAAACAAACCTTCTTGCAGAGGACTTATTTAATTTGCAAAAGCCGAAAAAGGTATTTGCTTACCAATTTTGAATTTATTGGTATGGCTCACTTATTTTATTTTTCAAAACAAAAGAAAAAAACCTTTGAAATGAAGTGAGCCATACCAATTTTGAATTTATTTACTAAGCAAATGTTTTTTTTCGGCTTTTGCAAATTAAATAAGTCCTCTGCAAGAAGGTTTGTTTAAAAAAAATACGTGTACATGTCGACTGCTGAGTGGAGGATCGACCTATCTCGGCAACCAGTTCGAATACGCCATATCTCAAAAAACGTTTCAAAAATGTCCTATTTGAGAATTTGGTTGCAGAACGCCCTATTTCAGAACACGTTTCAAAAACGCCCTATATCAGCACATTTTCAATACATTTTGAAGTAAGATAGGACATTTTTGAATCGAATTCTGAAATAGGGCGTATTTGAACCAAATTCTGAGATAGAGTGTTTTTCAATAAAATTCTGAAATAGGGCGTTCTTGAAAAGTTTTTTGAGATAGGGCGTTTTCGAACTGGTTGCCGAGGTAGGTCGATCTTCCACTCAGCAGTCGATATATGGTATATGGGATATGGAAATATCCCTTTTCCCTAGAAGTAAGCCTTTTAGTGTGAGCAACAATGATGTTTTTCAAATAAGGCAGATCGGAATATGCGCTACCTGTAATTATTGTACCATGGGCAATAATCATGATACAATCAAAATGTATTCAACAAACTGTGATTGAATTTGACATTGCTCTCAGAAGAACCATCGTATAAAGTCAAATTGAAAAAAAATTTTATGAATTTCGAATCATTTGTTTATATTTTTTGACATAATAGTATCTTAAAAGAGAGCCGACCTGAGTTGTCAATCACAACTTGTTTAATACACCTTGGTTTTACCTTACTATGTTTTTATCATGGTTCTAGCTTCCTATTTTTTTATCATGGACTATATAAAACATATATAGTCGGCCGATGTGATGTAGTGGTAAGCAGTGCGCGCTTTCACTCATCAGCACCTGGGTTCAAGCCCTGGTCAAAGCAACATCGCAAAAAATATAGAAAAAGTTTTTCTTCTGTCCCTCGGCAAGCAATGGCAAACCTCCGAGTGTATTTCTGCCATGAAAAACATCTTCTCATAAAAATACAATCGCCGTTCGGAGTCGGCGTAAAACTGTAGGTCCCTCCGCTAACATATGTGTAAGCGCCAATCTATTATTATTACTATTATATAAAACAATATAAACATATTATTCACTCTGTACTCAGTTTCATTCAAACTTGATTAACCGAATTTCCGTTTCAAAAATGATTTTTTAACTTTACCAGCATTGCGTCTACCTAAAAATAATTCGTTGATTTGTGAACAAAAAATGTGATAGGCGTGCAAATCTCTGGTATTGTCTTTTAAGTCCATCGAGCATGGTAAATAGCTCACGATATTTTTATAGCGTTTTTTATAAATAATTATTTTTTACCCAACGGAAATGTATCGCAAAATTTGGCATAAACCTTTACACCAAAGAAAAATTGTGAGTAACTGAAGTTAGATAGACGAAACCTATAAGACAGTGGACGTTTTTTAACCATTCAAAAACACCAAAAAAACTTAATTTCCAACATTTACATCAAGGCGAATTAATATAAGGTGATAGCAGGAGTTCAATAACAAAAATTTACATGTATTTTGTTTTCGCTTTGGCGGCATAAACTGTCAAAATCTGTAAAGGCATTGGCCCAATGTAGGCTTGCTTTGCTTGCTTCGCTTTGAAAATTGTCAAACAGTTTTTGAACTCTACTAAAATGTATGAAAGTTGGCCAAATGGTAGCTTGACTTCAATTGCTTGAAGCGCTTTAAAGTTTCAAATAGCCGAAATCTCTATTTGACAACGCTTTGCAGGCTTTTGACAATGCGATATGTTTTCGTGATAAATGAATTCAAGCAAATTGCTAAAGGCTTTTAAAAAAAAAAATGTTGTTTAACTAAAAATGCTGCAAGGATGTACATGTATACATATGTACTTGTAAATAAATGTCTTAATTTAAAAAAGTGTTGCCGAAAAATGTAAGTAATTCAACGTTAAATAAAAGCGATTCTTCGCTTTCCATATTTGTATTTAACGTATGTATATGCTATAGAAGCCGTGCAATAAGCAATAATAACTACTCATCAATAGTTTCGTGAAAAAGCGCCTTTATGAGTTAAGAGTTTTTTATATGTAAATGAGCTGGTATAATTATTTCATTATTATGTTTTCCTTGAAATCAAAAAAAAATTAATTCACATTAATTTCAAAATAATTCTGAAAAGATTAGAAGCTAGGACGATGTTCCTATTATTTTTTTTTAAATTAATTTTATTATTAATTCATGTTGTATTTTGAAGGAAATTTGTAATGTTAATGGAACAGACTTTGATTTCGCAACCACACAGCTGATTGCTTTGACAGCGTTCCAAGCTACATTTGGCCAAACAAGCTTTTCAAGTAAATTAAAGCAAAATGAAGTCAGTAAGGCCAGCAAAGCAAGTCTACATTGGGCCAGCACCTTAAGAGTGTGTGTAGAAATTCAAACAAAATTTTTCAATTTGATATCAGAAGCCGTACACAAAATCAGCTGAGCTAGTAACACCACCTGATTTACATTTTCCAAGTTGATGCCATCGGGGAAAAAATTGGCAACTATTTTTTTTTTTTCTGAAAAAAAGTGAAGATTTGGGTTGGCTTTCCCTTATGGCCGTTCCTTAAAGGGGCGGTGGGCGAAAGGTAAGCGGGCGTGGCACCTCTAACCCACCTTTTTGGAGAGGGAATGAACATTTGACATTGACAAAAATGCAACCCCCGACCACCTAGGTCCCCTATAGTTCCCTAGGGACCCCTTAGAAAAATTGCCAAAAATCGCAATCCATCGCAGTGGCCTCCCTATTCTTTTACCACCAGCGGGTTTCGAGAGCTGGATTGTCGGTGTCCATACAAACGACATGGCCAAGCCAGCGGAGCCGCTGTATTTTGATTCGCTTCACTATTTACATGTTGAGCTTTGAACTGCTCAGAGGTATTCCGTCAACACTAGAGGCTTTGTGACTCCAATCATCCTAGGCCAATTGGAAGAGGA